TATGACTGTAACTTTGTCGCTTGTATCCTTATGATTTATATTGACTGTTTCCTAGTATGATTTGATTGCTTATTGTACCCTATGACTATTATTAAGTGTTGTACCTGATGATTCTTGACTCTTGACGAATGTATCTTTTCTTTTATGTATACTGAGAGTATTTGCACCAAAGACAAATTCCTTATGTGTCCAATCACACTTGGCCAATAAAGAATTCTATTCTATTCTATTCTATTCTATTCTATTCTATTCTATTCTATTCTATTCTGTTCTGTTCTGTTCTGTTCTGTTCTGTTCTGTTCTGTTCTGCTCTGTTCTATTCTATTCTATTCCTGTTTCTATTCTATTCTATTCTGTTCTATGAAATCAAGTTTGACACCACTGAACTATTCATTGACTGAATCCTTATGAAACATGATCACTGACAGACAAGCAGTAATTCCTCACCTAGCATTAATAATTTAATTCTTTCCCGGAACAGCTTTCAAAGTCAGCAGACAATATGAAGGAGGAAGGCAGAGATCAACATTGAAACGAACAGCTTCGGCGTTTGGAAGATGACCTTTCCATGCCTCCACCCCCACCCCAAGACTTGTATTCCGGCAAGCGGGGTCTTAGCCTACCTTCAGGCTGGTATTGTGCTATAATGGTCACCACCTGGCCTGCTCCTTTGAGGGCTGCGGCCGCTTGTTCATGTGTAGCACCACGAAGATCAATCCCGTTGACCTGCAGGGGAAAGAGGAAAGCCAATGGCATGGAACTTAATTTCCCTCATCCAAGTACGGAGCTCACCTGAGAAGCATGGTTTCCCCCCCCCTAAACGTGACACTCGTTTTCAAATCTGTTGTGGCCTGTCAGCCGCCAGCCCCTCCAGCAGCTATATCAGATGAGGAGGCAGCGTGGGAGTCAGGGTCAGCATCAAGGCAACCTGGGAGCTCCGAAGGGGGAGAACAAACGGGGCTGGAAGAGAGAGCGAGAACGCGACAGAGCCGTCCATCAGCCCTCAGGTGGAGAGTCAACAGCCCCCAGGTCTGGAGATGGCTGATGAGGAAGAGGAGGAACAGCTGGGCCCAGTGCCTGATGCATAGATGCACAGAAGGCGGAGGAGAGGAGAGCAGTGGAAATCTATGGGCCGGTCCTCGGGACGGGAGCTCCAAGGGAGAATGGAACTGGGAGAGAGACAGAAGCTGAGCCTGGGCTGTCCATCAGCCCTCAGATGGAGAGTCCACAGCCCCCAGGTCTGGAGGTGGCTGATGAGGAAGAGGAGGAACAGTTGGGTCCAGTGCCTGATGCGTGGTTGCGCAGAAGTCAGAGGAGAGGAGAGCAGTGGAAATCTATGGGCCGGTCCTTGGGACAGAAGAGCCATTGCTGCTAGCGAAGCCCCACCTTAGCTCTGGGGATAAAAGGCAGGGGGCAGAGATGAATAGATTGGCAGACAACTATTCATCTTCTGGCCGGTCGGACCTGTTAGCCTGTGGTGAGAGAGAAACCTTTTTCTGGGCGCTCCTAATAAAGGAATCATTGATTTAACTTCAGGGAATTTGTTGTGTTTGGGGAGCTGGGTCAGAACAAAATCTCTCTGTTATTATATTTAGTACATAGAAAGTCCACAATCGGTTTCCAGGTCCTTGTATATAGTGGTCTAACCCATATCTCTAATCCAATTTTGCCATCTCTGCTGATTCAGTCAATTTAAAAATCCATTCTTCAACCATCGGCATCCTTTTTTCTTTCCAGTGTTTGGCGAGTACCATCCTCGCAGCCGTCACCGTGTGAAGGAATAATATTCCCAATTGTTTTTCAATGGACTCATATTAAACAGTTATCTGAGTTATTAAGGATTCCGGCTCCACAACTCTATGAGTAACCAATCCTATGCTGCCACCTTGTGGAATTTAAGGGAATATGTAAGGGATATGAAGTAAAACCTATTATAGCAATAGCCCTTAGACTTAAATACCGCTTCACGGTGCTTTTACAGCCCTCTCTAAGCGGTTTACAGATTCAGCTTCTTGCCCCCAACAATCTGGGTCCTCATTTGACCCACCTCGGAAGGAGGGAAGGCTCAGTCAACATTGAGCCTGGTGGGATTTGAACTGCCAAATTGCAGGCAGCTGGCAGTCAGCAGAAGTAGCCTGCTGTACTGCACTTTAACCACTGTGCCACCACGGCTCCTAATACATAGTTCTTGACTTACGACATTTCCTTTAATGAATCTTTGAATTTATGACCAAACTGGAAAAGATTCCCTCCTCCACCGACCCTCAAAGTTACAATCTTCGTGCCCTCCCTGGTGTCATCACAATTAGGGCGATGGCAACTGGTGTGCATTTACAATCCCTGCAGACTCTTGTGGTTATGTGATCATAATTTGCGATCCTCCCTGCCAGCTTCTGATAAGCCAAGTCAATGGAGGTAGCCGGATTTGTTTAACGGCTGCATGAGTCGTTGAATGACTACGTGATTACAGGGGAGAAAAAGGCCCCGATTCCCTTCATTAGCTGCTGCAAAAAATCAGTTTCCTTGGAACTTAATGTGTGGTCCAGATTCTTCGCACCAATAAGGATGTGTGCTAAATGTATACATGTCTTCTGCTGATGTGCAACCTTTTTTTAAGACTAGAGCTGGCCTTTCACCAGCATGCGAGGAGTCTACATCTCCCCAAATAGCAAGCAAAGAGGTCAGAACAAAACAAAACTTAATTCAAATGAAATTGAATGAGGTAGAATGGCTTCTCCTGATTATTTTGCAATTTCCCATGGTCCTGATTAAACCTACAGTTTGGCAGCAAGTTGTACAGGTTCTGGAGGGGGTAATATACGTCATGCCCCTGGTGGAGACTGACTCCGAGGGAGAGGAGGAACAGCCGACAGGGAGTGGAAGTGTGGCTCCGGATGTTGTGGAGGAGGCTGGGGAAGGGCAGAGGCCGGCTGGGCAGTCAGAGGAGGACCCAGGCCCACCCCCTCTTCATCCTAGGGCACGCAGGGAGGAGAGGATAAGGGAGAGGTGTGGTCTACTCGGGAGGAGAGGGCCTTCCGGTTTTGCAAGGTTTTGGCAGCGGCAGGGATTCGCGATACTGTGCGACCCCTGCTGCGTTCCCCGCCAAGGTTCCCCCGATCCATTTGGATCTGGGGGATATAGCTGCCCCGTAGAGGCAGCTGAAGACAGGGGGGATCCGGACAGGGGCTTGGAGGTGTCGCAGACCCCCTCCCCAGCCGGCAGAACCCCCTTTTCCCAAGGCGGAGGAGCGGCGGTCAGCAATGGCCACCACGAAGAAATCTGCAGCCGGACAAGCAGGAGCAGGAGGGAGAAAGTTGGAAGAATTACGAAAGTTGCTTTTAACCGGGACAAGGCAAGAGAAAGTGACCTGGAATCTTGAAGGCTGCTAAGTATACATTGTTTCTAGTGAGAGTTACAAGCTGCGAATATCCTAAAAGGGAAAGTTTTTTTTTTTTTTTTTTCGTTTCACTCTCCTTCCTAACGTGACAGCGGATGGAAAAATCTTTTTGGCTGTGAGTGGGAAGGGAGAGGAAAAAAAAATTGGAGCAAAATTTGAAAATAAGGAGAAGATTGCCTAGAATTCTAAAGAGTTACTAAACATCAATAAGACTTCTAAAAGATATATTTTAAAGGGAACTTTGTGACTAAACTTTAACCCCAGAAAGAGAAAGTGAAGAAGGAGAAAGTATTTAAAAGGAACAGCTTGTTTGGATTGTGTGGTGATTTTGGAACTTTTGAGAATTATTTCTGACTAAAAGCACTTGGGTGGTTGTTTGGAAAATCTTTTTCTCTACATAATGGCATCACTTGTGGATGGACTGAAACTTGTATATCAAAAATATGAAAAAGAAAAACAAGAAGGGAAAGATGTCCTTGGCACTCTTTTTCAATTTTTAGAAATGGCGGTTTGTACTTATGTAAAGCTGAATGAGCAACAGGATGATGGGGACAAAGAAGAAGCCATCTTTGATGAACAAATAACTTTGGTCGGAGAAGGAAAAAAGAAAGAGAGAAAGGAAAAGAAGACTTTAAGACCTGGAAAAACAACCCAAAAAGAGAAGAATAAGGTGAAAAGGGGATATTATGTTAGGAAACAACAGAAAGGGGGAAAGCAGAATAAAAGGGAGATGGAGAGACAAGGGGGTAAAGAGGACAAGGAGAAGAAGAAGCAAGGGAGAAAGGAAGGGATGAGAAGCCTTAATGGTGGGGAGCAAGATGTAAAGAAGCAAAAGTTTTTTTTAGAGATAATGGATAAATTTTTATTGAAAAAGGGATTCTAGAAAGGTACATAAGGCTGTATTTTTATATTTGTATTTAGAAATAACTATAGAAAATTGGAAATAATATGTAATTTAAAATGTGATAAAATATTTAGTATAATCTAGTGAAATTTTTGTTAAGAAAAGGGGAGTACTGT